CAATACGATTTTGCCCAACCCTAGTGTGATTTATTCATTCTGAAGCTGAATTAAAGTAGGCTAACTCGCTAATGGTGAACACGTGAATTTGTTAATAAACCAGCAGGCACAACAGTGATAAACGACTTTTGCGAGGGAAAGCAAAACTATTGCGTTCCCTCGCAAAAGAAAAAAAATCTCCCYTGTCCCCWRGCGGGCTCCGTAATCTCAATGGATTTATATGTAAATAAAGTGAAATACTGAATTAAAATACTAATAAACCTACAAAACCAAAAGTCGTATCTCCCATCTCTTGAATGTTTTCATATCCATGAATWGCTCAAATAGCACAGACTGCAGAAACAGTTTGACAACAAAAAATTACAAATAATAATAGAACTCGACACCGTCCGTCGCTGATGTCCCCCCGTCACCATTCAGTTGTGACCAACTGTTGTTGTTYGAAMCATCACAGGCCTTCAWTATTTAAATAATCTCATAAGGTGAAKAGACGAACAGACAGACGGATGGAGGGACTGATGGACGGGGGGCTAAAGTGATCTTGTCGAACTACTACACTAATMAGTTGAACAGGTCTCCCTGATGGTGCACAATAGCTTGTTGAGAAGAGCGTGATGCAGCATGTGAAGTCTGCATGTTCAAAGCTGTAGGGGGAGTTAGCTCAGATACAATACGTGTGTAAAAATATATAAATAAATTGGCAGCTTTGATCCAAAACTTCCAATGGCGATTGTACCATGACTCCAAGACCTTTTTTAGGTCCTGAGGTTACACATGTGTACCAGATTTTATGATTCCAGGTCCTAGCATGGCTTGGGGCAAATTTATAACTAATTGTGAGTGGCGGGGGACACACACACCCAAAATATGACCATGCTTTTCACCAAAAAGTCTTTGTGCTTGAAATCACATGAGATCAAGTTTTTTATCAGTATTATGACACAATTTGTTGCTGGTTAGGTCAAGAGAGTCAGAGATGGAACTTTCCAAGCCAAAAAAAGGTCACTTCCTGTTGTCAGGGGGCGGGGCTTTGATTATGTCATGTGACCACAAGMTATGGTCCGGCATGCAACATGGATGACTCGTACCAAGTTTGGTGTATTTTAGCCTTTCTGTGTGAAAGTTACAGCTTTCTCAAATTGTAACGGACAGARGGAGGAGAGCATTTAAATCACCCGCCTCAACGATGGGGGACAAAAAAAAGTATTTTGTGTGAATGCTGATTCAACATATAAAATGTTGTAAACAAAATATGTTCAAATGATYAACTTTTCCACATCTTTAAAAAGGGTTCATGTTTTTACAGCCTGACATATAGAATGGTGTCAGAAAAGGTCTGCGAAATAGTAAAACTGCACCAGAAGCAACACGAGGTTGATTTCCTGACGCTATAATTAAATGTGATTATGTAGTCAGCAGGCATTTATTCTGTCCTAACACTACCAGCGATTACTTCGGTTCTTTTCTTTTGTTGCCGTCTTTAATTGGCTCTTACTAGCTGTTCTCAGTAAGACAACTGGAGTGTGATTACATTTACCACACCTGCTTAATAAGAAGGTAATTTGACGCAAGATGGGCTCTTAAATTGGTGATCATGCACGATGCAGGATGCTCACTGTTAACCCCTATAAGTGCAGTTCAAGAGAGGCACGGCTCACTAGTGATTATGTCCTTACTAGATTTTGTTCCACMGGAGGAACAGAGGAACTGATTGATTTAAAAGATGTAAAGTTTAGCCTGAAGGTGGCAGCAAAAGAGAAGTCATGTTTTAAAAAAAACATTTTGCCTTTCAGACTTTTCAGCATCGGTGATCAGGGTGTCCTTCAGGATTTAATTTCAGGATTGTTGTTGCTTTTGTTTTTCTTTTTTTGGCTGCTTCTTTCTGCAAGAGTCATACAGAGAGCAAAGTTTTACTGATTATATCAARATATGAATGCAGACTCAGCCTATACTTTTTTTGTTTTTATATTCAAATTGAAACAGCCTGCACAGTGAATTTGAACTATCACAGGACATACTATTGTTAGAGATTTTTATTTATTTTTATATTGGCTAAAAATCAACGAAATATACTAAAATCTTTAGTGCAAATGTATTTTTGCAAATGCATGTTTGGTGCCATCTGGTGACTTCCAACTTTGAATGGCGTCAAACAAGTTCCAGACACAAAAACAAATGTAACAGAACATAATTACATACACTGTTTTAAAAAACAATTATCATCCACTGCCTTACATGTCAGAATTTAAATTAAAACCATRGTCAGATTTTAAAATCACTGTTTTAAAGGGTTCAGAGTAGGCCTTTGTGTTGGGAATCAGTCTGGGCTGTTATCACATCCAATTTTAGCTAAAAAATCCTTCAATTTGGCTGAGTTACAGTCTTTTATGCTTTAGTTTGGTTTGCTTAGCTGTGGCATTCATCTTGAGTTAGGCTGACTCCAAAGGTTTATCAGTTGTAGAGCTACATCTAATGGTTACTTTCTGATAGTGTCATCCAAATCCAAAACTGTTCCAGCCTTCAGAGGTGGAGAAGAAAAAAAAGCGAAACATTCTCAAACGGAAAGAGTTTGAATCTCATTATCACARAGATTAATGTAATGGATGTTGATCTTTTCTTACGTAACACGGTTTCTTGTAAGCAATGTGGAAGAAAGGAGTGTCTCCTCGATTAATCTAGGAGGAGCAGAGTCAGCAGCAGGGCTCAGAGACAGACAGTGTGTTGAAATGTGTGAGTGATTTCAGCAGACTCCCACAGGAATCCGTTGCTAGCCCTCACCTGCAATAATAACCAGTTGAGCAATGCCTGGGAAAACAAAAGGAGTTTCATTCTACGCAAGACAGAACATGAACTGTTTCAAATGCCTGTTTAAGTCAGGCATGTAACATGACACAGGCGAAACCTGAAGCAAAACGCGAAAGTTTTTTTTTTTCAAAACTAAACCTAATTAAAACCGTGGCGACATCTGCGGAGATTTTTCATCGATATGCTACACAAAGTGCAGAAAAGTGATTTTTCTCACATTAAAACACCTCGTTAATGATGTGAAGATGTTAAAACTGCATTTTCTGTGAAAAAGTGGTGTGAATGTTGAGAGCTGATTAATTACTGAAGAAACTGAAACTGAGCTGTTAAAGCTAAAAGGAGCGAAACACTGGCTTAAAGACAAAGAAAAAGCAAAATGCTAGCTAAAAGTAGAAAACTGCTGGCTCAAAGCTAAAACGTGGCAAAAGGCTAGTATTTATAAAGGGTAATTTGGTACCTAAAAGTAGCAAAATGGCTAAAAGTTGCAGGAAGATGGATGAAAGAAGCGAAAATATTTCAAAAAGCATGAAATTAAAAAAACTAAAGTCATATCATTGTTTTCCTGAACAAACTGAATTATTTGGCTAAAAAAAGCAAGTTTGCAGCAATTAACATGCAGGCAAAATAAAGAAACAAAAAACAATTATGTGAATTCTTAATCAGCATTCACACAATTAAGATGTCTAATTAATTTGTGAACATGTTTGCTGGTTAACCTGATTAAAATCCCTTATTATGACAGTGATCACATGATACTAGATGCACACAGGGCTTCAGTCAGGTTTTATTTCCTGTCATGGATTGTGAGCGTTGGGTGTGCAGAGGACAAGCCTGTGTTTGTGTTGAAACTGGATCTGTGGAGGTGTAATCACACAGGAGACACTCTCTCCACCTCTCCGCAGGATCTGAGAAAAAGAAACTTTGACGCTGCTGTCTGGCACAACACCGGTGTTAAACTCTAAAAGGTAAATATAATCACACTTACTCAGAGCGAGAATGTCACCTAATTTTGTCTTTATTATTGCTAAGAGAAAGTTCTATTTATCAGTGAGTCTTTTTTATGAGGTGTGTTGTAATTTCCCAACATTAGTTTATCTCAGAACGCCTCTCTGGTCGTAACAAGAAAAAACAAATGAGGCATGCAACCATCTTATTTTGGATGTCTTCAGTCCTAAATTTGTATTTTAAGTGTAAATGTTTTCAACTTTTTATTTTTTTCAGCTTTCCTTCCATTGCAGTCAAAATGCCTGAAACTGCAGAGGCTGTGTCGGCCACTCTCAGCACCAACAGAAACTGCACCATAGAAATAACCAACGTCAGCAGCGGCTACTGCCTCATCAACCCCATGTAAGTCTGCAAGCACCTTGCAAATTTTACAATTCGCAGAACGGAATAAAATTAAAAGCCTTGCATTCATTGAGGTTATACGTTGCTCACTATCGCCTCATCTTAGGGGCGGAGCTGTTTTAGTTAAAAGCTTTGATTTGTCAGAGAAATGTTAGTGCTCAGAGTATGGWTTGAGGATGACTCTCAGCTACTACCACGTCAAATTTTAGGTCAATATGCATAAAACTGACTGAGTTATGGCCATTTTTAAGTTGGCTAATGGTGATTAGCTGAGGCAGCCATCTTGAATTGTGTCATTGTACGTGAACGTTCAGTGATTAAARTGAGAGACTACTTGAAGGTTATCCTGTGGTTTGTYTGATATTTAACACATTCAAGTGTTCAACACATGGGAGGCGACGTCGCTCGCCCTCCTCCAGTCAAGCGACCGGCGAAAACCGTGCATGTGAAATTTCGCACTCGTACACGTAGATGTGCACACGCGAGCTTGCGATGCAACATTTGAAAGTTGAAAAATGTTCAACTTTTGTCGCTGTTGCTTAGCGTACAACCAATCAGCGAGGGTTTCATTGACTGACCAATGAGCGGAGAGTATGCTACACACTGCAGTTAGCTAACACTCACCAAGTGATTACTAAAAAAGGCAGCTTTGTGGGAATTTATTGGCGCCAGGGTGAAGTTATTTGGTAGGTTTTTCCTCATAAAATTGTATCTTGGTGTGTGTTTGTTTTTCAATATCACTAGCATCGCAAGATTTGTTTAGTTTACACGTCCGTAATGCACACACCCCTTTTTTGTGAACCACCAATAGCCTTTACAAGAGGCAGTAGAAGAACCAATCAAATTTCGTGAAGACAAGCGACCTGAGAGCGCGATTCGCAACGCTGCGATCGCTATCACTTCCCGTGTGTCGGGTTTCACCCTGGCTGCGATGACAGCTGTTAATTACTGTAGTTTGTCGCTCCCCGTGTGTCGAGCCCTTAACACTCAAATAGACAGTCTAAAACATTATTCGCCTTCAGTGGCAGGTGATAAAGAAGGAATATGAGTAAAAATAAATTGCTAATTCCTTTAGAAATTAAAAGAAATTTTGAATGACAGGATAGTTAATGTGATGAACCTTTAAAACAAATAACCTAATACAAATTTATCAGCGTACCTTTAATTGGGTGTGAAAATATTTGGAAGCGACTAAACTCATTTTAATTTGCTTTTACATAAAATGAGACTTTTAATTAAAAGTCACAGGAAAAACACAAAATTTCTCAGTGATTGTAAAAAGGTTCAGAGAAATCAGCCTCTCTCTCTACCTCTGAATTGAAATTCTGAAAATTTATTGACATTTTGTGCAGTTTTTTTAAGAAAAGTTTGTTTTTACTTGTCAAACCTTATAAACAACAATACGTGATACCAGTTTTGAACAAAATGTCACGCTCAGAGTCTGCTTTGAATGATTCTCCATCCCTTCAAGTTTTCGTCCAATACAAAATGCAACACCAAACTGCATTAAAACAGAGCCACGTCTTTTGCAATGTGTGTCATGTTTCTACATTTATCCGGGTTTGTCAGGACAGGCTGTATTTTGGATGGGTGGTTTTTACGTCTGACATTACTTTACTGAGAACATCCGCCTATCGATCACGCGGTGACACGCTCTGCCTCATTGCACACTGCATGCAGGTACAGTCACTGTTGTTTCCACAGTAGTCCTTCCAGTCACACTCCATCCATCAGCACAAGTTATTTTACTCTGAACAGGCAAACACTCAAAAGTACATCAAGAAGCTTCTTCTAACTTAGTAAAGTTTAAGAGAAGCTGGAGGATATTGTCTTATCCTGTGTGTGTGAGAGTGTGGTAGTTTGTTCAGACTATAAGTTAAATATTCCTTGAAAACCTGAATGGATTTTAATGAAATTTGCAAAAAGTACTCACTGGGTTGTTGTGTAGATATGAATAACATTTGGAGTCAACCAAATTCAACATGACCACCACATCAAAGTAATTTTCATCAAAGAAGTCATTTAAAAAAACTGAGCTAAAATTTACAAGTAAGGGTCTCTGCAGCACATGTTGTCCTGTGGGCGGAGTTAGCCCTACCCGTGATTGGTGGAGATCTTGGTGTGGGCGTAGTTGGAACTAATCATGATTGGCGTAGTTGGTGTGTGGGCAGAGTTGGCCCTACCCATGATTGGTCAGATTTTGGTCAGAAAATTTGCACACGAAAAAAATGAAAATTTGCACTAAAAAACGAAAAATTGCACAAAAAATGAAAATTTGCACTCAAAAAAATGTACATATCGGAAAATTTAATGGGAAATTTGCACAAAAAAATTTGCACAAAAAACAAGACTTTGCACAAAAAAATTTGCACAAAAAACAAGAC